GTGGTGTTTCCACATTAATAACCCTGTTATTGGTAGCATTTGCAACTACAAGAATCATCATTACCAAGAATACTTCTTTATCAATAGTAAATAATAACAATAATCACCTTCATTATATAATAAATAAATAATAATATAATCACTTTATTATATCAGATTTGCCAAAGTCTTTCAGTTGGAAGATATGTAACTGCTCAAAATATTTCAAATTTACATCTTTTAGAACATAAAGATGATAATTGTTCACCACATACACCAAATACTTTGAGAACTGACAGTTCTTGTTACAGGTGAAGATCCATCCACTGTCACATCACAGTTGCAGAACTTCAAGAGAGTTCCAAAACTCTTTGATAGATTTCTTCAAAAAATAGTGAAATATAAATACTGTTTGATCAACAACTAGTTAAATCTTCTCCCAAAACACAAGCTGGAGTTAATAATGAAGCTGTCGGGACTATTGGTGTTGTTGTTTACTATTACTATCATTATGGTGCTCCTTTTTCATGTACTAATAAATTTATTCATATTAATTTTTGGAGAGCAAATTAATTGATGGCAATGGCTATGAGAATTGAACTGAATAGGTTATTTAGTAGTGAATAGCTTTGGGTATGGTTTGATTATTTTTCAAGTCAAAACTTCTTTTACTCAAGAAAAGTTATCTTTAAAGTGCATGGAGTTCAAATCGTTTATATAAATTAGAGGACTACTTTCTCTATTATGCCTCGTCAACTTTGTCAATACAAATTAAATAGAGAACACACAATTTTGAAAAATTGAAAAATCATACAAGAACAACTTTTATCATTCTGCAATTTATATAAAAGTGGAATTAGCTTGAACACTCTTGGATGGAAGAATATGTTAATGTCATAATGCTGGGGCAACTAGTAACAAATATTCCACATAAATAATTGGTGCAACTCCTTAGTTAATACAATGAGGTTGGTAATCTATACCTTGAATCTTGTTGAACATGGAAATTATTAATTTTTGGTTACAAATTGTTAAAGATACATTATTTTAGTTTCTATATTACTTGACATTCCATCTGCACCAATTGCAAATTCAATTACAAATCAGTTGATTTTCAATTTTTATCCTTGGTCTGCCTGGAGGAATTTCTGAGACCTTGTGATATGTAATATTCTGATGATAAAACATAAATTTGAGTAATCATACATATGAATATGATCACAATCATGTCATTACAACATTGTAAATTTATGAAACAATAAATCTTTTTTGTAAAAATGGTTTATTGTAGTTATTTAAAATAAAATAAAAAACAGCTATTAGATTAATTCCTGAATTGACTCAATCTAATTCTAAATCTAATTTTAATACAAATCAGAGCTTGGTTTTAATTTTGATTATTATCTTGATTACAAATATAATCTTGATAAATAGAACTCCATGCATGTAATAAAATATTGGGAAGTTGTAAAATATCTTCATGTCTTGCATGATTATGAGAGATTCTATATAATTCTTTACCAACATTGTAAATTCTAGTGACACTTTCTGGCGAAACAAAATCTACTGCAACTTTAACACATGCAGTATAATTACAAACTTGATGTGCACAACCTGCTGGTATGAAAACCATATCACCTGGATTCTGATAAATTCTCCAACCTTTAACACCTTGTTCTTGTAATAACATAGCTCTTAATAATTCGTTTAGGTAGTATCTTTGGTCATGAATTGGATCATCGATTCTTATTCCCATTTTTTGCGAGTGTTCATGTAAAAATTTACGAACCTTTGGTAAATCGTTTGCATGATAAAAATCCCAGACTGCTGCTGCTGGTTTTAATTGTTCATCTGGTAATCTATCATGAATTTCTGGTGCATGTGTCATTAAATTAACTGTATCAATTGCATTAAGATGAAGTTTTGAAGTTCCAACCCCTTTCAGCCCATCATCAGATCCATATGCACAATACATCTTGGGGCCTAAATCTGAACTGTTCATTGTAAATCAAGAAATTATTATTGAAAATTCCGACCAAAGATCAAACATTAATATATCATTTCTATTATTATCATATCAATATCATTAATAATACTAATTACTATGGTACTTACATGATGTATTCTGCAGGTAATTGATTGACCAAATTCATACTACCTCCATATGTTGAATATTGTGCAAATGGCATGACAGACATAAAATCTTTAAAATGATCAGGAAACTTTTTAGCAAAATCTCGATTTGATGGCCAGTCCTTAAAATTTAAAAAAGAAATCAAAATATATAATATTATTTAAAGCATCGTCATTATTATTATAGATATAAATATACCTTTAATTTCAAATAAGTTATATTATTTTGATGTTTGGGTCTTCTTTCAAGATTTACAAATCCATCAAAAAATGCCTTAACAGTTGTATGATAGACTTTTTCAGTCTTGCAATCAATAGTATCGCATGGAATATTACCAAATCGTCTACTAAGGTAAACTGGGTTCCAAAGCTGATCTTCATATTTCAAGTTCCTAATCACAAATGGATAACCTTTTTTCCAAAATTCGCGAAATTGTTCAAGTGTCATTTCTCCATTATCCCATTCAAGTTGATCATGACTCTCATGTGAATTGTCATAAATTTCTGAATCAATAGCCATTGGTTCAATCAAATAATCCTTATTATTATTAATGGGGCAGTTTATAGGCGTAATAGATAAATTTTCCATATTTTTTTTTTCAGTTATTATAGAGTTGTCATTGGATTTATCTAAGGATTGTTGATCTGGTTCAGACTTAATAAAAGCGGAAGAAGTTACAGTTGGTTCAAATGATTCTATAGCAGTTGTTGGTTTGGTTGACTCCATAGATTTTTTTGATTCAACCAATTCTGTGGATTTTGTTGGCCTGATTGGCTTTATAGGTTTTTTTAATATTACCAATTTCGTTGGTTTTGTTGATTCAATCAACTCTGTAGCAGTTATATTATCTTCATTGATTATTGGATCATCTTTAAGTATTTTGCATGTTTCCATGTAAAATTTTTCAATTTCTGAACGTTGATAGAAACAAACGCCCAACATATGTTTTTTTTCATGTCTACGCCTGAAAGAACATTTACCAAGTGTCAAAAATGTCTCTGGTGACAAATCATCCCACTCATCATAACATGTAATACACATTTCTCTACCGCATACAATGCATATCCAAAACCCACTAAAAATTATGTGCTGACAAATATCACATAATTGTCTACTGTTTGTTTCGGGGATTTTTCGACATAGAGCTTTGTCTATATGAGAAAGTTCATTTTGTAAAATTGTTCTAAAAGTAGGAGCTATTAAGTCTAATTTAATATTTCGAAGAATATATTAACTTTTTTTTGAAAATTATAAATACGATTATTATTTAAATCATGATAGTAGTAATACCTAATATGTAATGCCTATCCTCTTGACTTAATGGGATATCCCTTGATTCTAGCATTGGTGCAGGATTCTGATCTGAAATAAAATTCGAACCTTCTATTATTTCATATGTTACAGGATCAATATCAAAATACCTAAAATTTTTAAATCTGCATCTATCTGATTTCTTGTTTACGCCTAAACAGAAAATAATAAAACAAGATTTTTTTTATTAAATGGATCATAGATGAATAACTATAAATTTATTATGTTCTTACATGCTTGACATCTATTAAATTGTAAAAATTTTTTATTGTTGCAAGAATTTTCTTGAACAAGTATATTTTCTCCGGTTTTATCAGTAGTTATAATCTTTCCTATTGTTGAAGTAGAAGATGTAATCTCTTTTGGACGTTTGTTAGGAGTTGGACATTCTTCCACCTCAATCTTACGTTTAGCTAATGTTGCAAGACCATGATCTAAAATGGTTGTATTTACATTATTATCATCTATGTTCGTTTTCAAGTTATCATTATTGTTATTTCCATCGTTGTTATTTTTATTAATTGTTGTATTCGCACAATCAAAATTTTCTTGGCTTATTTTTCGAATTCCGGGGTTTGAAAGCATCTTTAGTTTTTTAAAAACTAACTTCTAGGGATGTGACAAGTGAATATACAATCGATTTTAGCACATACATGAACTGATCTCAATCCAACAAAAAAAAAGGAATATCTCGTATATACTCAAAAAAGAATTGCTTATTTTTAATTATGTATATTAATTACATATTAATATATATATACATTCATTTTAGCAAAATATCAAGTGCAACTTTTGGATTCTCATGAAAAAAAAATTTTAGATTCTAGCATTTAAATACAAAAAAATTTATCTTTAAATCAAAGTATGGTTGAATCAGAAGTAAGATTGCTTGCTGAAACCTCTTAATGACTGCTGAAACTCTGCCAAAAGCTCTAATAAACAATTAGTGTGTAACCATAATCAGAAGAATCTTTAATACCAACATTTTCTCAAGCTATAACAAATTATGTAAACATGTTAATAGACATTCATTATTACCAATTTTTTAAAGAAATTAAATGCTTTTGATCCAATTTATTAGTGTTTCTTCATCTCAAAAAAATATTCATATATCAAGAATTTATAGATCACCAATGTACCACACATGCTAGAATTAGATGCCTTCGCGTATTTCACGTGACAAAATATGTTACTATTACTATGGGTGGGAACCTGAATTTTGGGCGACCAACCAAAATTCAGTTGGGTCCAGATGCCAGCTTTAAAATTTTTAAAATATTCTTTATCACCAAGTTTACTTCGAAAATAGCCGTAAGAAAAATAAAGGGTAGGCTGAACTAAACAGTTAATTTTAATTTCTTTTTTAAGTCCGTTGATATGCGTACGCTAAAAAATTCAATACTCAAAGTTTGATTAAGCATGACAACTTGCCAAGTTACAAATAATTTAGTTAAATCTACCTTTCCCAATTTAAAATATCTAAATTCTTTTGCCAGGTCGATCTTGATTTCAGCAAAAATAAGCCTTTTATGTTTAGTCGTTTTTTAACATGCACAACCTCTAGTTTAATTGATAGGAAAAAAGAAAAAAGGCAACTATTCTCCAAAAAGTTTAACAGATTCCACACTGATTCAATACAATTTTCTGAAAACATAAATGAAGAAGCTAGTGTGAAATCGAAGACAAGTTCAATAGTTCATAGTATTCTTCATGGTTCAGCTGCTACAAAAGAAGAAGAAAAACATACTCATTCAAAGTTAATTGCACGTGGTAAATATTGTTCATGAGTTTCAAAGTAAGTTTCTAATCAACATTACTATTTAAATATTGTCAAAATTCATAATATATATATTGTCTCTATTATCTTAGCATATAATTAAATAAGGTTTATCCAAAATTCTATTGTTATTTTAGAACATAAAATAAAACCAGAATATGTTAATGATTACATAAAGCTCATGTAGATTATTATTATTATTTATTTTTACATGATATTTCTTATAAGTCAAAAAATTTATAATCGTTTCTTAATTATTTCAAAGATCTTTACATTGTCCTAAAATTGCCAATGATCCAGATAATTCAGTTCATCTTTGTGGTAGTTGGCAGACTGAAATTGGCGATCTTGATACTTTTGGTAAAAAAATTATAATTTGTCCTAATTAGGGTTATCTACATCAATCATATCAATTGTTTATCTTTTAGTTCATATCTGGGAATATTATGGATATAAAGGATACCATGATACATACAATAGATTAAATAATGATTCAGTGAGTAATTTTTTTTCACTGTTATTGTTAGCACCATTTTTCTTTATTGTTGGAATATATTAAAGGCTTTTTTAATGCTTAAATAGCAATATCAACAATTTCTAAAAGAGATTCGACCTATTCTTTTGAACCGTTATAGTCAGATATGTTTAGAGTTTGCTTTTTGGAAAACAAGCCCACCAGCAGTTCATGGTGGAATTTATGAGTTGAGAACTTATGAACTTAAAGTAATGTTGATTAATTAATTATTAATCTAACAATATAATGTTTATTGTATACTAATTTTATTTTATTCTGTTTGGTTTTTTAGCCTGGGAATTTACTAGAATGGGAAACCCACTGGTAAATATTCTTTCTATTATGTGATAAACAAAGAATACAATACACCATATTAGCCATAATATTAAGCACTAAAATATATTTGATAAAATAGGCATCGTGGTCTTGAGTGTCGTAGACAATTCTGTGAACCTGTTGGTGCTTGGTTTTCTCAGTTGGGATTGTTAAATCGTGTTCATCATATGTGGCAATACCCGTAAGTAGTTTGCTGTTGTTGTTATATAATTTTATTGTTATTGTTGTAATGTATTTATATTATCAGAAGGAATTAAAGGTATTTTATTTATTTTCATTAAATAGTGATCTTGAAAACCGTAAAATCACACGTGAAAAGGCTTGGGAGGTTGATGGTTGGGCAGAGACAGTTTATAAAACTGGTATGACAAATATTTTATTATTTTGTTGTTATAATTAATAATTTAATAATTTTGAATATTTAAAAAAAAACTTTTTTTGATATACATATAGTTCGGTTGGTTCAAAAAATGGAAACAAACATTTTAAAACCATTGGATTTTAGCCCATTAAGATAGATTATTATTATATAAGTAAATAGCACTATAAATATGTATATTTATTTATAAAATTAATAGAGAACCTATTAATTTATAGAAGGTAATATAAATAACGAACATATTTTATTAATTTTTATTTTTATTAATAAAATTTGTTACGAGTTATCTAAACCTTGACTTTCGTCATCAACAGTCGAAACATCTCCATCATTTCCATCACTGATAGTACCTCCACACTTTCTTAAACCAATTTGTCTCACTAAGCCTTCTCTTCTTTTTCTTTCTCTTCTTTCTTCTTTATTTTCCCATGATTTATTATTAACACTGTTATTTGAATCCTTTTTAATTATTTCATCATCATCATCACCACCGACATTATTAATAATCAAATTATCATTAAAAAGTTGATTATTCATCATGTTGAATAATTCATTTATTTTCCTAGTATTTTCATCAAATTTTTTATTTCCAAGCAAAATAAGTAAATATAAATATGATGAATCAACAAAAGTGCTTATTTTTTTCGTTATTGAATTAAAATTAGCAATTGGTACATCCAACTTTAAAGAACTTTTAATTATCACCATGTGACGTTTTGATGTTGTTAATAAACCTGATTCACGATAACCTGCATTAATTGCTAAGGTGACCAAGTTTTTTGCTGAATCCAAGGTTCGTGTCTCTATATGTAAAATCTATTCAATAAAATTATACACATGTATATAATAAATATTATAATATATACTTATATAGAAGAAATAAAAACAATAATATATTTAATAATTTATAACTTACCATAGGTTCGAATTTGAAATAAATTAATCTATTGTCACTGGTTTGATTTTCCATTAATAATGAATCATATTCTTCTACATTGTTACTATTAAATAAAATGACATTTTCACATTCCTTGCCAAAAACAGTATTTAATGAAAATTCATTTAATTCCTTTCTATTGTCAACATTATTGTTAATGTTTTCTGATGGAAATTCAATCTTGATGTGTGATACAAATAACCATTTACCACCACCTTTTGTTGAAATGTTAAGGTGTTTTATCTCTTCCAAGTTGTTGTGGTTTTCATTATTATTATTATTATTATTATTATTATTATTATTATTATTATTATTATTATTATTATTATTATTATTATTATTATTGATAAAATTAATAATTTGACTATTGTTATTACTACTACTACTATTATTATTATTATTTAATAATCCGTTACCAACACAATAAACTGCTATTCTACCGGAGCAACTACTAGTGGTAACGTAATCATTATGTTTATTTAATAAATTAATTAATGGTAACATTGGTTCATCAATAGAACCTTTTGGAGATTTGTCCAGCTTTGCATCGGTACCACTACTACTATTACCACCACTAACTAAAGAATTTGATATGGATGTTAATATTAATTGTTTACGAGAATGAAAACCTGTATGTGTTGAGTAATGAGAAGTGGATTGTGAACGTTGCCTAGGATGAGTTGACATTTTTTTTTAACTACTATGAAAAAAATTACTATCAAAAATCAGTATATTTAATTAAAGTGAAGAAAACTTCAAAGATAGAGATGTTATTAATATAATATGAAAAGGAAAAAGATAATGTGGGAAGAATGACTCGTAAAAATTAGATCATATTTATCGAAATGTAACACAGATATTATTATATAAAACTTTTTCCTCAAACTAAAGAATGCAAGCCTTAAAAGTAGGAGTCTTAGGTAGATTTTGTCATATCCAGATAATTTACTTTTTATTTTATTTCATATTTTAAAATCGTGAATTGGTTTCAATAATAGCACTGCAAGGAGCCTTTCTTGAACACATTAATATTCTTAAACGCTTACCGGAAGTATCTTCAGTTATTGCCATTCGCAATCTCGAACAACTTAATTCTATAGATGCTTTGATAATACCTGGTGGTGAGTCTACAACTATGGCTCTTATAGCTGAGAGAGCAGGTCTATGGGAATCGTTAAAGGAATTTGTACACACTAAGCCTACTTGGGGGACTTGTGCAGGAATGATCTTATTGGCCAATGAAGTTTTTAGAACTAAAGCTGGTGGACAAAATTTACTTGGTGGTTTGGATATCACAGTTGATAGAAATTATTTTGGAAGTCAGGCAAGTTATTCTATTATTATTATTACTATTAATAATCTACAACTATTTATAACCAATCTCATTGCTTTTTTTAAAAAAATTATAAATTTTAGATTGATTCTTTTGAATCATTCCTAGATATAAAACAAATTTCAAATCCATCCCATCCATTTCCAGCACTTTTTATTAGAGCACCTATAATTTCATCAATCAATTCATCTGATGTAGAAATTTTAGCTAGCTTAAATCATAATAATGATGATGTTGATACTTCAACAGTAGTAGCAGTGAAACAAGGTCATATAATAGCCACTGCATTTCACCCAGAACTAACCCATGATGATCGCATTCATAAGTATTTTGTAACAATGTCACAAGATTTCTATAAAACTCTCAATCATCATTTGTAATATAAAAAGTTACATGATAATTATTCAATTTTGATGAATGTTTCAATTTAATATAATAATTATAATTTGCATAATTAATGAGATAGTAACTTTTTTTTATTTGACTTGATCAATACTCTTTAGTCTGATCCATGCAAATTTTATTTATTTCCATTATCATAAACCCTCCCACTAATTAATAAGTGACAATAGCCTAGAGTTCCGAACGGGTCAGGCCATGAATTTGATTTGACCCATGGGTCAAACACACGGGTCATACGGGTTGACATGGTCCAATATGCCGAATGGCATACCCCTTGTCTTATTCCGTATCATGTGTCATACGCAATACGTAACCCTTGTCTTATTATTAATTATTTAATATTAATATTAATCAAAAAAAAAAATTTCTTTTATTAATTTAACAAAATCATTACCATGAAATCTGGAAAGATAGCACCCCCTTTTTACAATAATAATAAGGGTGTTCAAAGTTGTTCCGTTTCTATTTCCTGTTCCTTGTTGTATAATACTTATTAGATAATGGAAATCAGGATCAACTTTGAGCGGAAAATTTCCTATAGTTGGCTTGGTCTAAAGACCTCCTAAATTTTGGGCAAATTTTAAAAGTATAGAAGTCATTTTCTGTCCTATCTTTTAAAAAAATAGCTTTATTAGTTGATAGAATATGTATTTAATTTTAATGTAATAAAGAGTTTTTCTCAAAAAAAATTTTTGTTATAGAGTTCTATTCTTTTTTTAAAACATGTACTTTACTATGCTTATGAGAAATTTGAGCACTAGGATCACTGTTAAATTTAGACTAGATTTTGATCATCATTGCTAAATTTAGAATAATACTCGACCATCATATCTAAATTTGGCAGTAAGATAATAATTTTCAAAACCAAAATCACGTGAACCCCTTTTTTGAACGAATCATGAAATCGCAATTTTTTGAAATTTGAGCATGTGACGCAGCAATAGGAGGTCTTTAGATCAAGCCAACCAGTTGTTTCCACAGTTTCCACATCTATCTTTGGCACTGATCTACATAATAAACTTATGCGTTTTTTAAAGAATATTTTAAATTTATGCATAACTAATATAAATAATTATTAAAATGTCAACATTGTTTCTAAATCTATTTCAAGAAGCAACTGGTTCAGATGGATTTGATGAAAGTATTGATAAAATGAATTGCTTAAATATTTTGTTGTTGTATGTCATTATTAATATAAAAGAAGTTGCACTTTGAACTGGATAAATACTTTGTTGTTATTGTTCATCATTAATAGTGGAAGAAGCTACCCCTTGAACTGGGTAAATGCTTTGCTGTTGTTGTTTGTCATTATTAATAGAAGAAGCTAACCTTGAACTGGGTAAATACTTTGCCATTGTCATTACTAGTAGAAGCTATTTTTTGAACTAGATGAATACTTTGTTGTTGTTGAGATTGTTTGTTGTGTAACTATTTTTAATGTCTTGTTTTTTTTTTGTTTTTGTTTTTATTATTTTTTTATGGTGCGCCGTATCTAAAGACATCAAATGCTGCGCCTCATGCCGAAATTTTTAACACCGATCTTTCCTGATTAA